CCACGGAGTGCTAGTAAGGGCCTCATCAGCTGAAAGGTTCCTTCCTGAAAATGGGCAAAGCTATTCTTAGTTTTCCATTTATCTCCTCCTTCTGAATGCGGCTGGCAGTTGCACTGCCCTTTTGCCTCCCGTGGGCTTCACCCTGTTGCATGCACACGTGGCTGCTCGTAACTCAGCCCAAGTTAGGAATAAAATCTTGGGGTTTAGGAATGAGGCTATAAAGAAAACCCAGAGAAAATTTCGGAGAAGTTCCGTTTTTCAGCTCTGCAAAACAACATGCAACAACAAATTTTTACTTTTTTTTAAATTTGTTAATTGCATGTGACCTCCTTTGGATGTGGTTCTTCCAGCCACTATGAGCCACTATGAGCTCTCTGGGCAGAGGTAGGTTAGGCACGCTGATATCTACCCCTACTCCCCCAAAAAAGAGACAATTATTTGTAAAATGTCATACTTGCCTGTCTTTTACACAGCCAAAATACAGTAACTCCATTAAGATGGGTAAGTATTCACTTATATTCACAGTAGGGAAAAAAAACCAAGTAGAGCTGGCAAAAAATGTTTGGTAAATGTTAAATCAGATAAAAAGGCAGCTTTGGTGTCCTCTCATTAGTGTCCATATGACTGCTTTTGGATGGGGAGGATCCAGAAAAAAAGGAATGGGAAGGCAGGACAGAGAAAAAAAGACTTCGTGTTGGTGGCAACACGCTGCTGTTTCAGCTCAACAGCATCTGAAACCCTACCTGAGCACATGAAGGCCTTCAGCAAACGTGGCTCCACCTGCCGCTCCCACCCGAGGGGATGCTAATCAATGCTCTCCACCGCCCTGGAGGGAGCTCTTGGGCTCCACAGGCACTGTTGTCTTTTATGAATCGATGAACTGGCAAAGGCAGCATGGACTGAGACTGCTCTGTCACCACAAGCCCTTCAGCATTTTAGGTAAAAGAGGAAGATTACACCTCAACTACTTCACCTGCGAGAGAGTGATGCTTCTGCCATTCCAAGACACTCAGCTCTTGATTCCAAGTTCACCCAACCCAAGGATGCAGAGCCATGTCCTGGAACAATAAGGCTGATACCAGATGGGTCTCCTCAATGATTCAGTTGTCCTCTCTAGCTCCTGGTTAGACTTGAGCCTATTCACTAAACCTTGTCAGAGTTCTGTCAGAGCTGCATCTTTGCCACTACTTAAGTGAAGGGTTTCACTTTGGCAACAGGATTTGCCTAACAACAAATAGCATAGCGTAGAGTTATTCCACTGCTTGTAAAAGAGGCCTAAGAAAAAACACATGGAAATTTGCCAAGTGTACACACAAACCAACAAGAGGAAGTACCCCAATAGTTACACTCACTTATTAATAAAAATTTCAATGCCCTTAAGCTTCCTCAGGCCTTTCTCATAAGGTGACCATTGTACCCACTTGTCTGAAATACGGAATTTTCTGCCCGTGGTTGTAGTGGTAGCTGCAGTTGCAGACCCCTTCGTCAACAGTTTTAAGCAAAAAGCCCGTTTTAGAGGTGTGTCATTCTCACCTAATTCTACTCAGCACACCATCCGTAATGCAAAGGTCAGAAAACACGTTTTGTTGGCTATTTTTTAAAAAAAAGGTCCCTCGGTTGTAAAACATTACCCTTTTTCCCTTTCAGAAGGGCTGTGCCTTTTGGCATGCCAGATGCTGCTTGGCGTCCGCTGAGGGAAGCTACTGGTGCTTGAGACTTGAAAGGAAAAGAACTTGCCCTGGTTCAAGCACCAGCACCAGTTTCGCTGTTACAGGAGAAGGAAGAGAGACTCGTGTGATACCAAGGCGGGCAGCGGTTGGTGAAACGGCTGGAGAGGGATGCCAGCTGGGAGAGTACAGAGAACAGCTTATTTATGTTGATTTAAGCTTTCAGAAGAGAATTAAGGACAGCTGAACACACACCTCTGCAGGTCTCTGCACAGCCCGGAGCTGAGCAAGGCTCTCCCTGCAGTTACAGCTCTCATTGCCAGTGCAACCCAATGCCCCAAGTTGCGGAGAGCTAGCGGGCATGTCTAGTGGGTGCAGCACTGCAGCTAAACACAGCGTGCTTCTTAAAAGCTTAAAGGTGGCACAGATGAGAAAAACAGACATTACAACCTCTCAAAAATTCATGAGTTACATCCTTGCCCTCTTCTGACTGAAGGAATAATAATGCAAGACTCTAATAAATTAACCAGAAAACAAACAAACCAACCAACCAACCCCACTGGCCTTTGCAAGGCTTCCAAAGCAGAAAGCTGACAAAAACCATACAGACATCTCACATGACCGACTTCAATCCTTTACGTTGACAGTCCATTTATTACTTTTTCCATTGCCACAAAATTTACACGCGTACAGCTTACTCAGCAGCAAATCTCTCAGGTGCATTGAATGAGCAGACGCCTGCAGGTTTGCTCTCCTTAGCATGACATACATGATAAATTACATTTAAATTTAGAATTGGCAAGTACAAATCCTGTGGCTCAGTTTCAAACCCTCTAGGATGTAAAACCAAACAACTTGGCACCAAGTTTAAAAATACATACAGCATATCTAGGAATTAATACTGTATGCACTGAACAACTTGAAGACATCTGTACCATTTAGGATTATACACTGATCAGCCTAGGTGCCACCACTGTACCAGCTTACCTAAAAAGTATGTCAAGAGTGCCCTATGAAGTGGAACAGTGGACAGAAGCAAATTATTAAATAAAGAAGTCATCATTTGAAAGCAGTTTATTTGCACTATTTTTCTGATTTTTCAAGTGTGAAGGTGTTACTCCATGCCATTATTTATGGGAATGTAAAATGCATACGTGGTTTCAAATAGGTAGAAGACTAGGAATAACAAAAGAAAAAGAAAAGTGTACTACGTGTAGGCAGCTGGCTGATAAGGAGCAACTCCTATCTTGAGAGTATTTTGCCCAGGTTTCCTCTGTTGGAAGGTGTCTTCCACAAAGGATCTTCACAGGAATGAGGCTTAAGAGTAAGTGAGTAAGTGTGTACATATAGAAACTGAAAACTGTGCTAAGCAGCTTCTTTCTTCCTCAGATTAACAAAGCAAAAAACCTCAATCCACATGCATTTTTTATGCCCTATTTATTTTAAAAGGTAGAAGGCTCATCAGGTTGATTTGAAGGCGTTCTCAACACGAACAATGCTTCACAAGCTCTACTGCTATGAAACTATTCAGTTACATCACGTACCAATAAATTAAACTACTTCTGGTCAGGGATATTACAGCTATATATTGTAAGCAGCAATTGTGTGATTAACAAGCATTCCACCGCTTCTGGCTGGATAAATGCACTCTATGTTATGAGATGTTACATGTTCTCCAAAGTCTACAAGGACAGATATACAAATGGCTTGTTTTGGGAACGAAGAGTAGGTAAAACAAATGTAATAAAAAGAGCATAATACTGTTTTTAAATCTCCGTTGACTTCTGTAGAATACCTGGACTTATGTACACAAACACCCTTCAAAAAAGATATCGTCAGAAAGGAGTAAGTTGGGGTAATATTACTCCCTAACTCTACGCAGAAGAGAGAGGCATCTGACGACTGAGCCCCTGACACCTAGTGGCTGCCATGCAAGATCTAACATTGACAAATCCTACTTAGGGTTAAAAGGCTAATAATAATAAATCACTCATGGGGCATTTGTAACCTTCCTGCTATATTCTCATTAACAGAAATTCTGCTAATTTGTTCAAATTTTTCCTAGTCCTGCTTTTTAAACATCATGCCCAACTGAAATTCTCTCAAGCAGAAGAATGAAGGTAATCTTTCTGTACGCAGCACGTACATTTGCTCTTGTAGGCTGCATTGACATAAATGAAAGCTGGCTGCTTATATAAAACTCTAAATATTAGAGTTTAAGAGACTATTGTAAGCTTTTATACTCTCACAAATACAAAATAAAATAGCATGCTGTCATGCAATACTTATATGATCTGATGTGATCCAAACAGATATAAATTAGATAACTTAATGCACTATTTTCTCAAAAAATTCTTACATCTATTCAGCTCTGATTACAGAAAATATATTGATCATAGCTGTACATGATCTTTAGCAACTCTTTGTTTTAACAAACTTTCACAGTGGCTATGACAAACTCATTTTGACGAGGTAGCAATTATAAGAGCCCTGTGTGAAGGCATGTTGAATAGTTTCTGGTAAAACTTTTTTGTGCTTAGGCATTGGAAGACACTGTTGAGAAAGACTGACCTCTCTGTACATTACATAATCGATGGGTGGTGAAAGGGGAGAAACAAATGACTGAACAAATTCCGATTTGGTGAAAACTGGTCCAACTCCACTAGCCTTGAGATCAATGACACTGCATTAATTTACTCTTTTTTTCCCCCTTAAATGAATAAAATTGAATGCACAATACATCCAGAGGCATGAATGCTTAGCATCATTAATATAAAGTCTCCTTACTCCTAACTACTTGTCCAAAGTGGAAGCCAAATAGTTAAGTCTTTGGGCTTATTCACATTTATTTTCTGTGGAAGTGCCAGGATTTGCATTATAACTATGTTGCATTTAACTAGAATTTACGGTATGTTTCAGGCTACAAATACAACTAAAAGTTATATTCCACCAGGTCATTATTTAAAATAAACACATAGTTGAAGACTAACTGAATTATGATAATCAAACATGAATTATAAAAGCATCTTTGGTTGTTTAATGTCTACTTAAAATGGTTAATAAAGAAAGCTGGAGTTGCAACACAGCATAGAGCAGCAGCCCTTCCTCAGCAATGCTACTGTTACATGTCCAAGCACTTCAAGAATAATAATGAGGAAATTAATCTCACTGGGAGAAAACAGAAAGGTGGACGTAATCAATCTATACATCTAGGGCTTAAAAATACAAATTTAAAATTTTGGCAACAAGCATAAGTGTTCTTTCCGTTTTGTGACAATCCTATACTAGGACAGATCCATGGAACTAACTTTTATAAAAATACAAGATACTGCATAAGTTTTATTTAGGGATTTAATTTATGTACCACAAATACTGCTTTTAATATAAGTACAATATAATACAGTTTTATTTATGTAACTGCTGGTGTTCACTTTGGATCATGAACTGAATGGCATGCTGTGCTGTCAAAACTTTAATGAAATGGCCTCTAGTTAAACTTCTCCAAAGTATAAAATCATGCAAAATCTACATCCTATATGATACAACCAGTACAACAATTGAAGCCAATAGCCTACAAACAGCCTGGACTGTTTGTCTCTGAGAAACTCTTCTGAGTTTGTTCTTGAAGTGTCCACATGTCAGCCATCATTTTCTTTAGGCAGAAAGGAAGAACTTCAGTTTTGTCTGCTGAATCTCATCACGACCACTGAAACCAGCAACAATGTGCACAGTTATCAGTCAACAAATCTTCATTACCTAATGCAGTTCAGAGTGCACATTTAGTCCATATAGACAAGTCTGGGGTTAGGAAGTTTTACGTTTTCCTCCCGTGACAACTGGTCGTGCATATTCCACAAAATCATCTATAAGAACAGGCCACGCTCCTAAAGAGAAGTCAAGCGATTCAGAAATTAATGTATTGTTACCAGCAATAAATTGGTGTAGTCTCTGAAAACAAAGGATCAGAAGCTCACTTTGATATTTCTGGCTAAGTCTAGCTTTAGCGTGCATGACATGATAAACACCTGAAAAAAGCACCTAACTAATAAATTAACATTTCAATCTCTTCCTGCAGCAATACTTCTTAGTACAAACAAAACTTATTTAAAGCATAAAAATCCACACTATAAAGTTTGTAAACATTAGTTGATAGCAAACCCATGGCATTCTTGTTAAAGCCATTCATAACTTAGGAAATATTTCTGTACAGTCATTCCAAAACAGCATTTGCAGGATTAGTAACAGAGTGTAAATTGCTTTTAGGTTAGCAAAAAAAATATGCCCATGTAGACATTCTTGCAAGTAGCGAAATGATGTATTAGCTTGCTTTTAGCAGCACTTTTGTACAAAGAATAGTTTCACTGAGACTCTTGTAGCATAACAGGTTGAAATAGCATGTGCTATATCATGGTCTGACAGTATCTTTATTTCTATTTACCCATTACAGCAAACTAGTTAACCTTATTATTACTGTTTTGGCAACAAGTATGACATTATATTTGCAGCTAAACATCTAACAGTAAACAAACAAAGACAGAAGGTAGCAGCATGTTCTGTTGTTTGTTTATAGCAATATTTTAATTCTGCTGTACCAATTTTTGAAAATATTCAAGTACTGCTTACCTTCTTCATCATAGTTGGACATATCATCTGCAATCATATTTCCAAAGTCTAACAAAAGATTCCAAGTGTCTTTTGGAATTGATCTTTTATGATGTTCCTATAAAGGAGGAAAAATGGTACTGTTCAATCCAAACTACTTTCAAATTCCACAGTAGTATTTTATATTGACATATACAGAAATACACATTTTACAAGCATTTCTTCCTCTTTTTTTTTTTTTTAATAAAGTTCAGAGCTTCCAAAGTAAGCTACAAAATAATTTGCAACTAAAGGCAGCAAAAAAGTGTAAGAAGTCTTTGACAGCTGTTTTATTTCTTCCGTTCCGCTTTTAGGGTGTGTGTACCTAACTTGTTATGGAAAAGAATAAACCAAATGCACTACTTTAACGGCATCTACTCCAGGTTCTGTAACTGCGCAGCCATGGGTTAGCATTCTGCCATTTCAACTTGAGCCCTTTTTCCTTACCCTTTTTTACTTATGCTTACTCAGTCTCTCTTTCAACTTGGTTATAGTTGCACCTACACTCTTCTGACTCACTCCCAGACTGCCTTCCGGATCCATCATCTCAGCCTCCCTTCAGCTATTTTCTCCTTCACCATAATGCGACTACCTGCATTTGCTCCACTTCTGCCCAGTCTCCTTTTCCCCAGTCTGTCCTATTCTCCACTACCACCTCCTTGTCTGATTTCAAACATACTCTTTCTGAATCACCCCGTTCACAAGTACTAGTTGCCACCCTGGCCAGTTTGAGCAGCACTCCAAAAAAACTCCTCAGTTCTCTCAGCTTTTAAAGTTAGCACTCTAAAGAAGAGTATGTGTGCGTGGAAACACAATTACTAAGCAGTTGTGAGTGGTAGGATCAAGTCAGACCATTCACATCTCCCTTCCTCTCTTCATGCTGCTGTACTACCTGAAGACAGCACGTGATTAATAGAGAATTAAATTTCAACACCTAGTTCTGGTTTGCAGTAAAAAGTTGCAACTGCATGCAAAGACTTGCTCAGTGAAGGGCTGGGGTTTTTCTGTGTTTGTAGTTTTGGTTTTGTGTTGTGGGGTGGTTTGTGGGTGGCTTTTTTTTTTGTGGGTTTTTTTTTAAGCAGTAATACTCTAAAGTATTGAGAAGAACAAATGGCATCTCAAAAAACTGGAGTTTGATCAAAATGAGGTTGATGTTCAACACAACAGCAAACATGTCCTCTCACTCAAGCCAAATGTCATATCCTGACTGCAAAAAATATGCCAAGCAAACATACCTTCTGGAAAGGGTTCCTTAAAACAAATGAGAACCTCCCCCCCACCCCCGCCATCCTAAAGAGTCCTAACTTGCTTCTTTCTCAGTTTGATTTTTTTTTACTCTAAACATTTCTTCTAAAGTAAACATTCAGGTTATATATTTGTAGCAAAGTAAGACACTTTATACTGCATCATCTAGATTATTGCTTGAAGTAGGGATCTGCAGAACTGTCTGTTGTAACAAACTTGATTACATATCCAAGTGGGAAAAAAATGTTAGGACTTTTCTTCAGTTACATCTGTAGATCTGAATTTGGACGTGTTAAGTACATTGGCAGTTAAAATGTGAAATGTTTTCACAAGTTCTCTGGATGAAACTGGTACATTATTCAGTGAATAAAATAAATATATTGTCCAAAAATTTAGAAAAAACTTCAGAAAATACTGCAAAAAGTATACAATTTCCTTATTAAGCATTGGTGATTATGCGTCAAAATGCAGAAAGACTTCTTAATTCTCCTAAACTACAGATAAAAAGATAAATTGAAAAAAAAATCAAGATAAATTGTACATTATGTAACATTATGTAAAGTATTTTTTTTGCAAGTACATAGAAATGCAAATGTGGAAACATGGATGAATGAGTGAGATCTTTAATAAGAATATTTTGCAAGTTTAAATTATGCATCTTTACTCCACTGCCCACAGAATTGCACTGGTAATAAAAGGCTGTCAAGATCAGTTCACAACTATTATCTAAAAAATGAGTCAAAATAATTACTCAGACAAGAACTTTCACTTAAAAAGAAAAGTCTCTCAGGTTAAGTCAGTCATAACAGAACTGACATTTTAAAAAGATTGAATTTACGCATTAATACCACAAAAGGCAGAGTAAAATACATGGTTGACAATAATCACAGCTGTCTTGACAATAAAGACAACATGGGTTCAGTCTACAATCATGGCTTCATTTCATGCAGAAGCTTTCCTAAGTAGGAGGATACAGGATCAAGCAAGCAAGCAAAATGGTCTACTGCATGGCTACACCTTCTTGCATTCTTCTCAATTATAAGATTATATAGAGAACATTTAATTTGGCTTGATTTAACACTATTTTATATCAGTTTTCAAAAAGGAAACAATTCAAAGCAAGGATTCAGACATCCTGTCTTTTTCTTTATTGTAAGCACACAGCCTACAAGCCAGACTACTGTGGATGAAGATAGGAAGGAATGAATACTGTTACATACTTACCAACAAAAATTTATTCCAAAGATCTAGAAATTTAAACCTTCCTGACAAGACTAGATTCCAATATGCAATTGCCATTTCTAGATCTGCAAGAGACAAAGCAACACATAAATTTTAACAGCACATTATATGCAATAAAATTCTTATGGTTAAATAATTAATGCTACATTCAGTATATTATGATACAAATGAATAACATTCTTTTAAAATCATTACAAAAATTATAAGGAACTTTTTTCTACTCTCACTGACCCAAAACGCAGAAGACAAGCAGTAATAGTATTAACTGCATATTGAACATCGCAGTCATAAAGACTAAAATCTTTTTGCCATCATCCAGCAGCGCCGGATTAAAGCCACTTTCAATCTACAGAAACAGAACAATAGTTATCAATAACTCTGTCTACAAATAAAAAAACCCATACAAATACAGCAAATATTGATAGAAACCCAAACATTTAAGTCTGCAGCTGCCAATTCCTGTTAATTTATAGCATTTTAGACACGCTTGACTTTAAAGGGAATTTAAGGACACGAGGAGATAATAAAAAGATTTGTCTGGGGCATGACAATTCTACAGCACCCCTTACAGCAATAATTATTTTCTTCTGGAATTTTCAATATAAACACCTACATCCAGTACTGCAATTATTAGTCCAAGAAAGCAGACCTTATCCTGCACCATGACTAGTGATCTGAGAGCAGAGTTCAGCTCAGGCCAACAGGAGGATGCAGCACATTCAAGTAGAAAAGTAGGAGCAATATTAGATGCAGCATAAGGGTAGAAAGGATGTTTTCTTGAAGGCCTATTTTCATTCCCAGCAACTCACAATACCTAAGAGCACTAAATACAGGCATACTGCTATGCAACCACAAAATAAAGCAGCCTTTCTTAAACCACAAAAAGATTTCAGTTTGTGCTTTCCGTGTAAACTAAGTATAAAGAAAACACGAAACTTAATAGAATGTATTGTCATAGCATATAAGATGGAAGCTTGAGCTCCACCTACAAAGGTATCTGAAATTGTACATGTCACAACACAAGCCAAAGGACACACATTTCAGGTCTGAAAGAGATGTTCCAGGTTTTAACATAGCCAGTTCCCTAGAGCCTGTGCCACAGCGGGCTGGGGCCCAGGCGAAGTGCAGGAGTTCAGATGCAGAGAAATGCAGTACGCCTGTACCTCGCTATACAGAGACAGGGCTGCCGGTGTTTGTTCTACTGTGATCAGAGCGCTTTTCAGTACAGAACTTGCTTATGCCCTAAGAAACTTCTTCCAGTCCTTCCTGTCTTTGCCACCATGCTCACTTTTCGCAGAAAGTAAGTAGAAGAGAATAGTTAACAGCATTTACTTGCTGCTTAGATAGGCAGATTAATTACTCACATCTGTTACCCCAAATGAAAAGCAGAAGAAATGTGAAGGGAGAAACCTGAATAATCTTAAGGGTTTCTAAATGTCACTGTGAAGTGACTGGCTTTGTTCCCATTCACTCAGGCTTCGTTATGGAGACCCGACCTGTCCAAGCCAATTGTGCAAATCTATCACGTGACAACATTAAGCAAAATGCCCTTGGAAGGAAAAACACTTTAATAGCAGAGGAGTTTTTATACTTCTGATGAAATATTCCTTGGAAAAAGGAAGAAAGTACAGGCAAGGAAACAAAGATGGTTAAAGGTGCCACAAAAAAGTTAAAAGGGAAAGAATGGGCCACACTTTCTTGGTTTATTTGGGTGTGTGTCAAATTTAGTATTGTTGAGGTGAACTCGATTATTGCAAAATTGTATTTAACACAACGCACATGAAATACTATCTTAATTAAGTTGATACTTGAGGGATAACATTACATGTGTGTGCAAATCGATTCTCCTGCACAAAGATACAGGCATTATTTACTATAGTGTACAACAAAAGCATATCCTGCTCTGGATGCCACTCCGTAGTACCTGAAACTGGTCCACGCTGCAGCTGCTCTCCCTACTAAGCACATGGAGAGAAGTCCTGGTCTTGGTTAAAATTAGTTCAAGGGAAAAAGATTACTTTTTTTTAAATCTTCCTCATCTGTTTCACTGCAAACTACACAAACTAACACAAGAGATGTTTGAACAAAAGGACTAGATGGGACTATCACCTTTGGTGGTAATGCCAGTTTACACAATCTTAAAGTATGTGAGAAAATTAGGCCTTCAGGTCCCCATTCTCAGGGGATATGGCTACACTTTTGTTCAAAGACAATTCCCTACCTAGTTTGAAAAAATTAGCACTGGAGCACAGAAAAGAGGATTTCTCTGCTTTAAAGGGAAGACCTAGTCACACAGAGTTCCAGTTCTACGTCAGGATGCTGACAGTAGTATCAATCAACACTAATGCTGTGGAGTTTGTGTATCTGCTACAACCAGTGCAGCACTAAAAGCTATGGAGGGAAAAAAATTATCTTCATGCCATGGGAGTTCTGCATCCCGGCAGGAAGATGGTTGTGCAAGGCATGGATTTCTTAGGCAGTTTTAGGAATACCTATTCCAATGCTGCATAGATACAAAGGCATCATTACAAACAAAATAAAGTCAAACTACAATTATAAAAATATGCTTCCCACATTACAAAACTTGCATCATTAGTCTGTAGAGGGAAAGGAAAAGACAGATGCATGAATCTCTGGAAACTAATGCCTAATGAAGGACCAGTTTAGAAGAGACTTCATTGCAAACATCCATGTTCATATCCAAAACTTAAAACTGCTAAATGGTTAACGTTTAAAGAACCTCATAAAAATACCACATCATAAATTGGACATTACACAACAGTTCAACTTTTCCTTCACCCCAGGATATTTTCAGTGTCAATATCTAGCCAGTGTTGTGTCATGCAGCCCCTTCAGTATAATGGCTTTATAGTCCAAAGTTTTTTGCATACACTGAAACAAAGCTTCAATATCTAGATATTCAGCTTTCTGAATATCTAGTCTAGTTGTGCCTACACACAGATTCTATAAAGCTTTCTGTAGTAAAACCCTAAGAATGGAGTCACCTAAAAGTGATACCAATTACCGTTACAAAATTATTAAAACTAAAATTACTAAAAAAAAATATATATAATGTTCAAGAAGGAGAAAAAGGTTAGTAAAATAATGTTTTAATTACTTTAAACATTATTTTGCTAAATAATGTTTATTATAGTAAACACGTTTTAGTATGTTTTAAAATTTCTTTGCAGTTTTGAATTATTTAAACAATCAACTTTTCACAATCAGAAGTAAAGCATTTTGCATGCAGTATGATCTATTCCGAAACACGAAAGCCTCATTCTAATATTTAAAAAAAAAACTCAGCCTCTTCTACCCTGATTGAACAGAAAGATTGAAATGATAACAAATTAGCACAATTAATGCAGGAGAAATACATTATCAGTTAGACAGCCTGTGTCTACTTTCAAGATTTGATCAAATGCTTATCTTAACAAAAAAAAAAAAAAAAAAAAATCAGTATTACATTAAAAAGCATGAGTTAAAAAAAAATCAAATTAAGTTCCTCATCCCTTTGCTATTATTTTGGACAAGGGCAATGAAGTCATTGCACATAAGTAATCAAGGAAGTAAGAAAACAGAAAGATAAATCAACTGATAGCAAGGAATTGGCTGGAGAGTAGGATTTATGAGGAACATGAAATGAATTTCATTTAGACCTGCTGTGCCAAAACAGCACTCTGGGACTCCAGCACTCGTCATCCTCTGCCAAATAAATACTGCTTTCCAGCTCTGTCAGACTGCCCTATCAACAGAGCTGTTCATGCAATCATATTTGAAGCTCTCAGAATATTAAAACTAATTCACCTAAATGACTGACATAACTTTAAAGAAAAAAAGGCTAAAGGCACTGCATTGGCCTCCTAGTGATATTATAAAATCTTTTAGTTATTTATAAGAATACTTCAATATTAGCCACTGTTGCCCTCATAATCCCTAGTTAGCCTATTAACTAGGATCTGTACATTACCATGGTAGAGTCTATCAAGTTTTAAAGCTTGGAAACAAATAATTTATTTTAGTTTCATCTTCTGAGATTAACTGATTGTCCCAGTATTGACTTTTTCTTCCGTTATTGATGTTTAATCTTCTTATCAATATTGTAAAGCTTTGCTACTTTATATGTCATCTCTCTGAGACACTTGGGGCAGCTTGTTATATGCATCAATGCTCACCAATTAGTTTTATGCAGAGTACTCTCTCAAACTACATGGGCATCTTCTCTCCACCCCCCCCCCAATAATGGGATGCATCAGCCTTATGCAGTCCATCTACAGACACAAACCAACAAATTAGTAAAGAAAGTAAACAAAGCTTGTAGAAGGAAAAAGTTACTTTTATTAGACCAGTTAATAAGGATGGGGGAGAAGACAAAACAACACAAACAAACCACAAAAGAAACAAATGCCACCAAAACAGTTTTGGATGTGAAAATTTCAGAGCCAAGAGTCCCTTTGTTTGAGGCTTTCTCACCCCAATGCTTTAACCAAAACTTACAGTTTTGAAAACAAGAGTAGTCAAACTCTCCTGTTCCCAACACTGCATACAGAAATTAACCTGAACAGCTGCAAGACACAGAAATTTATTTTATCATTCAATTGCCTCGCAAAAACATATTTAGCCTCTGTAAGAGACTGAACTTCAGGTGTTTTCTTTATAGTCACATAATTTGCCCTAAAGTATCATTTGGTTGATATTCTTTGATCTCTTTCCTCTTGTTATCTGTGATGACAGGCAAGTATCATACATCTGTAAAGCTAAAACAAAAACTACATTGCACAAAATTATTTTGTTTCAACAGAATTCCTGGACACTGTGCCGAAACGGGTGCAGATGTGGGAACAGTGAAAACTGGTGTCAATCTACCTCAACAACTGGACTATCACACTACCTGACCAACAAACATCAAATGAATACTTGCAAGATTCAGCGAGTTACTTGATACCTTGTTTCCTCATCTCTGAATGATTTTAAGAGTCTTCTTTGGCCTCCAAATTACTAAGAACATGGACAGAAGAATTAGTTTCTTTCCTAATCAGAATGTTTTCTTCTTCTACAAACAAAT